TTTATGGATCAAAAGTCACAGACACAAAAGCCGTGGAATTTAAAGCTATCGACCCCCTAGCACTGCCACCCAGACCCCTCACATTGAGTTTTCTAACATGACTTCATTGGTAAAAGGGTCTGGACAATACCTGGGCCTCAGATGGTATCTCAGCTCCAGAGGCAAACTTAGCAACAGGGTGAAAATCTGTTATAAGCCAGACTGATCCTTCATCTAAACACCTGCATACTTTCCTGGTGTTTAGAACTACATCCAAAATAGGGGGCTGCATTTGGGGCTGCAACTGCATCCAAAATGGGGGGCTGCATCCGAAGTGGAGGGCTTTCACTAAAGTCCTCAAATGGTGATAAACATGCACTAAACACTTACTGTGCAATAGCCTAATAGCACTGTGCAGTAGCATAGCAGTCAAAACCTGTGCTAATAAGCTACTGAGCAGTGTTATTAGGCTACAGTGCATTAAGCGTCACCAAAAAAAATGTGCGCCGGCACTACTGTGCAGTAACTGTAGTTACTGCACATTTATTTAGTACGTCATTAAGCAAGTACCAAACTAAATGTGCACTAACTATTGTGCATTAATGAACATATAGACGCGCCCACTGGGGCAATCTTTAGAAGCTGCCACCAATGCCTGAATGCATGTTCATCTTCTGAGGACTGAAGACTGAAGTTCTCATCACGCAAATTCACTCCCAGACTACAGTTATGGTTACCCTGTAGAAACTACCCTGCTATAGGATCCAGCTGTAATGCTCTACAAGTCTGGTGTGAAACAGTGACTCTGCTTCTAACCCAGGCCACAGCCCTGCTAGTGACATGAATCAGGAACACACCTGGATTTAGTCTCATCTCTGCCACAGGGTGTTGTCCTAGCACCTTTAGTTTTTCAAGCTTAGGTAGTATCTAAACATGAAGACAATGTAAAATGAATATGAAAAGTAAGCTCTACATTCTGATGTGGAAGGATCAATGGAGTTCTACCAGGAACGGTGTGGTCCCAGTATACATTATAGCATATTTTGGGTAGCTACACATGGCTCAGAGTGATCTTGAAACTTAATGCTATTTTGGGAATACACAAAGCAAATATGAGAAGAAAGAGGTCTTGGAGAGTCTGAAGGCCAACTCTTACAGAGCGTGGGCTTCAGCATTTTGAACCAGGCTCTAGCTACAATCCCAGGTCTGTTTTGCTCAATAAAACTAGGACTTGCACAGGTGCCAAAGTGCCCAAAAGAAAAATCATATTCTGCATGTAGCAGCCATCCATGGTGGTGTTTGGTTCAATGGTTGGCAGCTAGCACTGACTCCATTTAAAAATAGGAAGAGCACAAGCAGGGCTGTAGAGCTGTGGCTGGAGAAGCGTCCACACCCACTGATAAATACAGCTGTGGGCTCTGCCACTCCCAAAGCAATAACAGCTTGCAGCTCATGGTTATAGACTGTGAACACTTCCAGATCATGAGTATTTTTATATTGAGGGACTTGTTTATAGAGAACAAGGAAGAATGCAACTCTTTTAATGGGGCGACAGAACCAAAGTCAACGTGCTACAACATGCTATTGTGACCCTCACCTTGCAACGAAGCTGGGAGTAGGGAAGAAATGACTTTTATTCCTGTATGGATTAGGTTACTATGTTCTCTGTGCATCCCATAAGCCCTGCTGTGCAAGAGATGCACAGACCTCAGGTTGGCCCTACTGCCTAGGCAAAAATCTCACCCTACGTGAAATCTCATTGCATACATTTAGGCATTTCTGAAATGCTTTATACCACCCTTATCCAACATGCTGGCTCAGCAAGCCAGTGTATACGGCAACACACGTGGAGATAGTCATTCAGAGCCAAACAAAAGCATTGCGCTAGGGACAAGGCAAGAGCTACTTATCCAGGATAAACTGGGCCAGCCACAGCTGTTTATGCAGGAAAGGGAGATAGCTCCAAGGAACACACACCTGCAACTACCATTGTGCACATGTGATGATAGTGGCTTAGATGTCCTGCTGAGGCCAGGGCCCTATTGCAGTAGTTACTGCACAAAAACACAGAATCAGTCCACATGCTCTGTGTTGATTGATTGCTGGCGAACCTAAAGTCTCTAAAGCCTTTGTAGAAGCGAGGCAGGATGCTCCCAGAGTGTTTGTTCCAGACTAAAAATGCTTGCGGTTTACCAAGGATGGGCCTGTGCCAAAACAACAACAGGCTAAACAGAGAAGCCACATGCAGGCTGCACAGGGAAACCAAGTGGCTGACACGGAGGTGTCCCACTCGAGGACCTACGGCAGGTTGGCAGCAGAGAGCAGAGTAGATTCCAGCTCTCCTGAATCCCTGCCCCAACTGCGCACCATGCCAACCCCCCTCAAAGAGAATAGCATCCCAGCCCAGTGGAAACCAGCCCCGCTTCTGTGTTGAAGACTTAGTTGGGGCCATTTTCAGTCCTATCTGGTTTAGGCCAAAGGCTCAGTGCTTCAAGCGCGCTCATGGGTTGCCCTGGTCATCTGTGGTCCTACACGAGCAGCAGGCCAGTGCTGCAGATGCAGTCAGGCTGCAGATGCTGGGGTCTCAGGGCAGCGCAGGGGTTGGAAGTGCCCTGGACTGCCAGTAATTCCCATCCTGCCTTTTTTACAGCTGTTCTTCCCTCTTAAGTCCCAGCACCGCTAATAAATCACTGGCCATGTCAGACCCTGTCTGCCCTGGTGATCCTCATCAATTCTGGGCAGGAATTTTTGGCAAATTCCAACCCAAGTAATTATTTCACATCCACACTCTGCCCTTATCTGGCCCCTTGGGCTCCTGCTCTTGTTCTCACAAAAGCTCAAGTCTCCATGATTTCCAAGACACCACACACTTTCCCTCTTGTTCATGTAAGGATTTATCCATCTAGCTGTAACCTAGTTTTAATCATTCTCCTGATTTCCCTCCTCTCCTCCTGCCCTGCTTTCATGCTTTAGCAATACAGTCTCCAGCCCTGCTCCACTCCCTACTGAATGCTCTGCTGGCTACTGGGGTCCTTCTGACACATTGGCTTTTTTGGCCTTTCTCTGTTCCCAAAAATTCCTCCTATTTTTCCACTCAAAACTGTCCAGGGTCCAAACAAAAAAAAAGAGTGGATTCCAGGATCATTTTTTCCCCATCCATCTGGAAGTCCTGCTGGCACAAGGAAGTAAACACGGCAACTGGGGCGTCTCTGCTACAAACTGCAGCTCTCCGGCTGTGCACGATGCCTTGGCTTGGTGGGAAAAAATAAAAAGAAACGTACATAAAGCCACTGAACTGCAAGTCCAGGCAACGCGTCTCCAATCTGCTGAGCATTGCAGTGTGATATGGGGTTAGATGCCAACATGCCCTGGCACTAGCTCTGTATGGCAGGCACTTTAGAGCCTGCCATACACTTTGGAAATACAAAAGATAAAAAGCCAAGGCTCCTTCAGATACTTCCACCTAGCTTAGTCCCTCTGCCTCTCCCTGTAGCACTGGGGGGGAAAGCCAGTGTTTTTGTTGCTTTCCCTCTGCCCAAGTAAAGAGATAGACCTGTTATAATGGTGGAGCCTTGAACCTGCACATCTGGGCTGCTGGAGTAGTTTCGAAGCATCCCAGGTGTGAAACGCTAAAGCAAACTCTGTCCTTGAGACAGGAGAAGGCCTGGAGACCTCCGAGGGGCCAGCCCTTTGAAACCAGTTGCATTCAGCTCTCCTGCTAACAGCTTCCAAGTCTCCCCTGCGGCAAGACAAGCTGGATGGCTTTGCTGCTCTTTTCACAAGACCAACCACATCACGCCATCCCCTGCCCTGACAAAGAGAGAGGGGGGAGACAAGGGCAGGTTGCACCCTGCAGCATTATCATCATCATCCCTGCAAAGACCTTAAAGCACAAACAGACACTCAGACCCCACCGTCGAGGGCTGTGTTAAAATGGGACTAAGCCAAATGTACTGGTCCTACAGGAAGACAGAAGAGGACAACGGCGGAGAGGGGTCTGGCATAGACTTTTCCAGGGGCAGGCCCTCTGAGGAGCGCAGTGGGCACGGGTACAGGTATGGAGAAGGGTTCACAGGCACACGGATACGTGATGCAAACTGCGTAATGGTTTTTTAGTGTGCTTTGATCTGCCAAGTGAATCATAGGGGCCACTTGGCAGAGTGTTGGAGGTGGAGTTATATATATATTTTTATATATAGAAATAAATATTTTTGCAAAAACCCCAAAACAACAAAAAATAAAACCCTGAGAATCTGCACACATCCTTCTAATTCTCCATTTCTGCCTCTCGCAGCTAAACCATGGTCCTGTTGGAAAGCTCTGTCCCGTGTGGAGCCCCAAATCCAAACTGAACTCTAGGAGACACGACACCCACGTGGGGTGCTCAGCAAGGCAGTGTGTTACAGGTGTGATGGCAGCCCCAGAGATGTGTGGTTAGCAAACAGCATGCTCGTGTCAGGGATTTCCAGACTCGCGCACACGGGCATTTGCCGTGTCTGCAGAGCACAGGACTCCAGTGATCACGCAGGCCCTGGTCATCTTCTCCCTCCAAAATGCAATCTTTCACATCTGCATCTCGCTCTGGAAAGAGGCCGATTGGCAAAAACCCTCACGGAGACTGGAATCATCCAGCTCAGAGATAGAGAGGGAAGCAGCAGAGCTCAGGACTACCCATTCACGCAGCATCCCCTAAGCGGTCCAGTTGAATTTCGTCACGAAGATGCCAGGATGGGGCTACGAAACGACCCAATGCGCTCCCATCCATTTCAACAGCGATCTCTTTCCTACAGGCTTTTCTGAACCCTCCGAATTCAGTAGCAGAGAGTTAACTCTCTATTTAATCCGACAGCTGGTTAAAAAAAATGCCCACAAGATAGTTGTCATTTGCTGTTAAGCACTATTGGATTTCTCCCCAGGGGTTTCCAGAGCCTGGCGCTCTGCTCCTTTCCACTCTCAATTTACTGCTCTTCGTTACGATTGTCATTGACAAAAGAATGAATCATTTCCCCGAGGCGATGGAAAACAGTTTATTGTATAGAAATGTACCGCCAGCCGCTCAACACCCCGGCCGCCTCTGCTGGCTGGTGTCCTCCCCTCGCACTGTCTGTCACACGTGCAGGGGACCCGCCGGAGGAGAGGCCGCCTGGCCGCGCTGAAGCACCCGGGGCTAGGAGCGGAGCAGCTCCTTTGAATTGCCAGAAGGTGGGCGTTTGGGGGGCAGGTGCTTCAGAGCATGGCAGAGGTTTGAACTACTGAAGTGACTGCGGGAGGAAATGTGAGGCTGTTTTCAGAGCAGAGAGAGACAGGACCTCTCTCCACTGCATGCACAGACAAGCCCCGAGTGGCTTTGCTCACATGCCTTGTCTCTAGGTGCAGGGCACCTGACCTAACATTTCTCTCGTAGCAGGAAGCGCGCTGCATGGCCATGGATTTCGCACTTGCAAAATAAGGAAAAGAGTGAAGAAAACCAGGCAAATTGCACCCCCTGCTCACCAAGAGGGACTGAGCAAAGGACTGGCAGTCTCTCTGAGGATGGAGTGGTTCCTTAGAGGGCTTCCAAAGCTAAATCCAGGAATTGAAAAGGAGCTGCAGGGCAGGCAAGACAACAGGCCACTGTAACGAAGGAGACTGTGTCACCTGAGGGTGCCCGATGTTATCCTGATGGAAACTCTGAAAGCTATTTGTCTGATGGGACAGGACAACAGCTCCTACAAAGCCAAAGACAGTGGGGACCCAGTCCTGAGTTTCCCATTCCCATAACGATGGGAGGCACAAAGCGAGGAGTTAAGCGCGCTCCATTTGATACCCACCCTCAAGCCTACTTATACACCAGGCCCTGGGAAATGCAGGATTGCCTAGTAAAGTACACTATGAATGAGCCTGTTATTTTAGGGAAGGGCTAACCCTGCTGTCCCAGCCACAGAGATCCTGTGCACTGGAGGCTACTATTCCCAAGTCATTTCCCCACACCCTAAGAGTCCTTGAAGCAGGCAAATTGGAATAAAAGGACCACAGATCTAGACTCTGGACCTCTAGTACATTTACTCACCCAGATGCATGCTACAAAACTACCCAGTCTGGGACATGCACGCAAGCTGAGCCTTTTCTAACAGCCCAATTCTCAGTGCACAAATCCCTGACTCAGAAGAGTAGGCTCCTTCCCTCACTCGGGGGCAACACTGCTTGCACAGACCCCCGACACGTCAGTCCTCAGAGCCCAGCTTCGTGGTTTAGCATTATCTTTGCAGAGGCTCATCCAGACTCCTGCAGTCCTTTCCTGCCCTCAGCAGCCTGCAGGGTAATGAGTAACAGCTGGTAGCAGCACTTGCCCAAACAGCTCCCGCCGAGCACAGCCATGCTGGGTTTTATTTGGCAGTTTAATGAGGCTCAGGCTTCTCACTTAGGGCACGCTCCCCCGTGCTGGCCCAGAGGCACAAATGGAAGTGATCGGAGCCTTGTGCAAGAAGCCCAGCAAAAGGAGTCACAAGAGCTACCCACACTGCTGGTGTCATTCCCCCGTGCCGACCCAGCCGTGCAAGTGGAGGTGATCTGAGCCTTGTGCAAGAAGCCCAGTGAAAGGAGTCACAAGAGCTACCCACACTGCCGGTGTCCAGGGACCTTCACCATGGGGACACAGAGGTCTTTTTGGGGGATGCAGACACCTGAGGGGAACAGGACTGAGAGGAGCATGAGTTCCTGGCACAGGTGTTGCATGGCACGGGGTTTCTCCCACTACGGCCCCCAGCCCCTCCACCCAGAGCTCAGGCCTGGTGGGGAGTCTGCCCTGAGCATTGGAAGTGTAGAAGGAGAGCGGACTTCAAAGTCTCCTCCCCAAACCTCAGAGGAACCTCATGGTTGACAGTATCCAACAGCTTCAAACTGCTCCAGGGGAAAATCTTGAGATGCCCAAGTCTGAGCGGCAGCCAGGATTCACATATCTCACTCTCCTGGAGAAGTGGGTTGTCGCCCTCCAGTGCCCTCCCCTCTGCTCCCCCACCCACCCACACGTCTGCAGTTCTGTTCATTCCTGGTTCCATTTTTGCCCTTGGCTGGAGAGTTTCCTATGGCAAATATTGTGGACAAGCCTTTCCATTGAGCTGCAGGGTTATTTGTCAAGTCCCTGCACACAAACGCTGTCCCTGGCATCGCCCCGTACCACAGCAGCATGAGACGCTGCCAGGGCACCAGCCTAGCCTGCTCACTGTGGTAATGGCTCTGCTTCAAGGAGAAACAAACCCTCTTTTCTTCCCCACCCCATCAATGCTGCCATTCATCTGCCTAGGCTTGCTCTAGACCCTGCCAGCAGGAGTTCAAAGGCTCTGCCATACTGGGGTGTTTCATACCCTCATGCGTGCTGGCAAAGCTGCCCCAGACGATGGCCACAGGCATTAGGATTCCTGCCTTGCTCCCCATCGCCCACCACGAAAGGGTCAAGCAGCTGCCAGCTGAGATGCAGACACACACAGGCACACGTGCACACACAGGCCACTTTATGCTTGTGCCATATCACACCATCACTACGCACACCTCTCTGACCCCTGGGCTGTCTGTACCTTGAATTTCCAGTGATTTCAGTGTGAGCTTTAGGCAAGTACTATAGGTCAGACAGCACATCACCTGGAGCACCACCACACCTACAAAATGACTGCTTGGAAAATGCCACGTTCAAGCCATGCAATTTGGTCTCATTTTGGCATTCCCCTTTTTCTTTCATATAGTGTCAGATATGAGCTTCCAAATCTACAAGCCACTGTCTGGTATTATCGCTCAATGTGCAGATTCCCCCGACTGTCTGCACATCTGTAAAGTTTGCAGCTTTTAAATAACCGCTCTACTGTCTGCTGGGCACTGCATTCACAGAGGGCTCTCCAAGACGTTCATCTGATGAAGTGCTGTTCTGAAGCGTCTGTAGCCAGATCTCAGTCTGTTCAGCTTGACCCACACTTTTTTGTCAAGGTTGTGCCCAATGCGGGACTCGTTTGGTGTTGGTATAAAACTCTGTAGGAATAGAAAAACTCTGTTGCTGTCCACAGGTTTGGTTCAGCATCCCCAGTCTCTTCCAGGAGCTTGTGGGCTTCATGTACAAATGGTTTACAACTTTTAAGCCTCAAGCCTCCATCTGTTGGGTCTTCAGTTAAAGCTGATGGAGCTGGCGATTTTCATCATCTCTTGCCTCTATTGCCAGTAATGATGTTAGGGTGCCTCCCTATATCACTTGGTCTAATGCCTGAGAGGTACAAAGTATCTGTGTCCTTCTGGACCATACAGGAGCACAGTATTCTTCTGGGGCACATACCAAGTCTGGTGGATCTGAGCACTTGGAAGTAGGCATCCCATGTCATGCTGGCTAACCGTCTTAAGGCAACTACCCGTGCAGAGTTTACTGCTGACCTCCTGAATGTGACATTTATGTGATTCCTAGGTAGGTTGGGTATGCTCATGAGGATGGGCATTCCCCAAGCCATGCCTGCTAAGACCCCAGTACATCCACGCACCCATGCGCATACACTGTACCATTAGAAGCATTGCAGAGCCCTTCACGGCAGGCTGCGGAAAATGGAAACCCCTCATTTGCAGATGGAGCGTAATGGTCAAAGCCAAAATGTATTTAAGTGCTTGAAAGAGCTGCAAGGAGATGCTTCTACCCAGCCCTGACATTGCAGCCATCTCAGCCATCCAGACTTTAGCCCCTCTGTTGCTCGCTGAACCATCACAGACGCTGCAAAAAAACATAGGTGCCTGCCCCTACTAGCGATTCCACCTGTCTGCCAGGCGCGACTTCCTCTGGCTTGCTAACCAAGCTGAAATTCGGATGCCTGGTTTTACTTTCCCCCCTATTTTGCTTCATCAGAACAGCACGAGAACTGCGTGGCTTTAATCCACATGCACATTCCTGAACCAGCAGCTCCATCCCAGCGCTGGGAGCACAGCGGTCTCGCCACGAGGCTTTCGGTGCAGCACGTCCAATTTCTGGCCTTTTAACAGCAAATTCTCAGCTGTGGAGTCGTCGAGAGGAACCAGCAGCCACCCAAAGCTATTTTGAACCTGGAGGCGATTCCCTGACTCATGAAAGGTCAGGGGAAGGTCCAGCTTAGAGCTTTACTGCTCTTCCTGTAGGGTCCTGAACACAATTTATCTCCCCCTGGCATTGGCAGAGCTCCCCCACACATTGGCAGATGGGGTTTGCAACCATTCCAACAGCTCCCTGCTGACTCTGTAACCCGCATCCTGTCACCAACGTAATGCTGCACCCACCCCCACCCTTCAACCGATTTGCACTTTGCAGGCAACGAACAACGTCCATCCAGTGATTTCCACATGGACCCATACGAGGAAAGCAGCCAGGGCAGGCTCTGCTCTGGAGAGCAGCCCAGAGGCACTGGTTTAGGCATGGGAAGGGGGCTGGGATAGCATGGGTCACTCCTGCAGAGTGGCCACCCAGCGTGGGGGTGGGAGAACCAAGACTCGAGCAACAGGGAAGTTTTTTGGCCCCTCTGCCAATGTTGGGTTTGGCACAAAGCCTGTGTCACATTACCAGGCTCTTACTCCCACCACTATTAAAGGACCAATTAAATTCAGAGCAAAAGAATAATTGCAAAGAGCATAGATTAAAACATTTAAATAGATTTTGACATGAACCCTTCCCATCTCACCCTTAAGAAATTAAAAGAAATGAGGACCTAGGGACCCCCCATTACTTCTCATTAAGGGAGGCAAGATTGCCAGCGTCTTTCCATTTTGCAGTAATTTCCTGGTGATTGAAAAAAAAATTAAGCAGCTGGAAAGTTGGACTCTTCAGTTATTAGTTTTCAATGCAGCTAAAAACCCAGAAAAGTAACTTCCCTTTAACCACTTCCTTGCTGCTCTCCCTGCCACACTGGCGCAATGGAGGGCTCCAGAGACCCGATTCTGGCTTCACAAAGGTGTAAATCAAGAAAGCCTCTGTTGAAGCGACACGCATGTAAAATAAATGGCATGATCATGCTCAGGATCAGGCAGCAGGCTTTTGGTGTGGCCACAAGCTGTTAACCTTTCACTCACAAGTGAAAGTTGAGTGCAGTGGCTGGGTGCTTTCAAGGAGGGAAACTAGTGGAATAGAGGGATGGGCAGGGAACAGGAGGAAAGGAAGATCCATATGGAGGAATGGAGGGCACCTGAGACAGAAGAGAAGATCCCAGCCTGTTGATGCTCCTAGGAAGAGCACAAGCAAATATGAGAGCACAAGGTGAGACTGGGAGGCCACACTGTAGTTGCAAAGGGAGCTCATCTCTAGGCTATTAACAGTACCAACAGGGCTTGGAAAGAGGTAAGCAGTGGCAGGTGCACATTTTAGGGGCTGCAATCAGGAGTGCAAGATAGCCAGCTCTTCTTTACCAATTCACAAGAAAGGCAGAAATAGCAATTGAGCTGATCAGACCTGAAGCACTCCTGAACGCAGGCACTTCCTATGGGAAAAAGCCCACACACTTCTTGCACAGCAGGCAGCCAGTGCTTCTGCCGCGGCGGCTGGAGCAAAACATCTAATCTGCATCGTTCTGGCAGTATAAATAGAAAGGCTCTGACCAAGGACAGTACGTCATGAGCGATGGCTTGGGAAACAGTGTCTCCACTTCACTCGGACGTTCATCTAGCAGAGAGAATTTGCTGCATCCCAGCTACATTCCCTGAACAAGTTCTGGGATGGGAATACGTACCCTGGCCAGGAGTTGCCCATATTGAATCAGAAGGCAATGAACAGGGACAAGCAGCCCATACCTAAGTCACCAACCACCCTGTCTCAGAAGGGTCAATGCTCTGATGTCCATGCTCAGGATTTAGCTGCTTTTGTTTTGTTCTGTTATGGTAACAAGTCACCCACGAAACCCGGCTGCTGATTTTGAGAGGATAATTAATTCAGGGACGTGCTCTTCCCATAGAGTAGAGGCATGTGAGGCTGAGAACAACACACCCTGGAGGGAGTAGGACCCTTGAGCACCACTAACAGCAGACACAAGGACAGGCTACACCCACGCTGTCATCATGGGATCCAGCTCCAGTGGTCGCAGCTGGGGCAAGCATATGGTTTGAGTGCACTGCTGCAGCGACTGAGGAACACACGCTCTATGAAGGACCTAGACTTCCATGGGTGCCAGTCTCCCCGAGTGCAGAAAGCCAGCAGGATGCCTCTGTGCCACCTCCAGTGGCATGCAGACCCTGAATGGACCCTCCACCCAGAGAAAATGTCCCCCCAGAACATGCCAGGCCCCTTCCCAAGTGCATCCACACTCTCCTTCCAAGACTGGTCTCTTCCTTTGCCGATTAGCCAGTCACCCACATTATGTCCACAACTCATGCTGCTATATAGAAGTGTCATGCATGGTACCTGTTCAACTAGCAACAGGCCCAACTAAGATCTCTGCAGTTCCATGATGATGCATAGGGCAGTGCCTGCTCCCCCTCCAAGTTTGGCCCTAAACACCCTGTAACTTCTACCACTCCCCAGACCAATATCCCCATTGCAGACAGCACTGAGACCACACGCCAGGGCAGGTTCACCATCTTTCTTTTCTTTTACTCCATCCCTTCCTGTGCCACAACACACGCTTCATATTAAATAGTTTAAATATATTAATTTTAAAAAAGTATTAAGAAAAAGTGACCGAGGACACAGGTGAGGGAGTGACTGGGGCTGTCTGAAAACCAAACTATGGTGAGGGGAGGGGTGTCCTCTGTGTGGGCACAGCCGGTGGGAGTGTTCTGGTTTCCTGCAATAATGCACATGTGGAAGGGGAAGCAGTAGAAAAAATATATATACTGAATTGTGAGCCAGGAAGTAGGAGACTTTAAACCTTTCATGGGGTTTGGGGTATTTGGGGTGTCCCTCCCGTGCCCTCCCACACCCCCACTTTCAGCCTTTAAGGAGGTTTTCTGGCTTGGGGTAGCCAAAGAGTACAAAATCTGCCTCATACAGCTTGTACAGCTGCCTCCTCCATGCCAAAGGGATTTTGGCAAACCAGTCCTCCTCCCAGCTGCTGGCAGTTCTATTTCGGTAGCTGGGAGGAAAGCGGAGTAGCCTGTCCACTTTGAGAAGCTGCAGCAGATGAGCTGCATCTTCATCCAAGGTCTCCAACTTCCCAATAAAGTCATAATCTATCTGGCACGGATGACAGAGGCGGTACACCTGCCTCCAGTGCTCATTGAAAGGGGCCATCTTCTCTGTCCGAGGGTCCAGTAAGTACTGGATGAAGTCAGAAAAGGAGACTTTGAGGCCTGCCCCAAAGGCCTCGCTAACAGAGGTGGGGAGATTGGTGTGGTTGGAGTAGAGCTTCAGCATAGGGATGGCGAACCGCCGATAGAACTCCTCGTTCTCCAGCTCGAACTTGCTGCGAAAGGCGGAGATGAGGCGCACAAAGGGGTCACGCACAAAGAGGAACTTGGTGTATTTCTTCAGTTTGATCTTCATGAGGTGACGGGAGAACTTCCCATAGCGGCGCCAGAATTTGTTGAACGTCAGGTGAGTGCTGGTGTTGTGGACATGTTCCCGGGGGATGTCCAGGGGGTCCCGGTAAGGGACGCCCTGATCCAGCAGGCTCTCGCTCAGTACGATCATCACCCGTTTCCAGTTGGTGCAGGCCACCTTGGGGACGTAGCAGTAGATGATGCCGTGGCGATCGTCCACAATGAGGTGGTTGAGCTCGTAGTTGGGGATATCATCGAAGGAGCGCTCCTTGGTGGGGAAGGCGAAGCTGGAATTGGCGCAGAACTCCTGCAGCATCCTCCGCCTCTCGGCCTGCAGCTTCTCCTGGTCCAGGCTCACTCTGGCGTCATGGGTGGACCAATCGTAGCCTCTCACATTCTCCTCCAAGTTACCCAAGACAGGCTGGCTGGATCCCTGTGGGGGAGGCTGCTCCGTCTTCCTGGTGCTGAGGCTGTTCTGCCTCAAGCCAGAACTAAGCAGCTTCTCCAAAAACTCATCCACATCTGACAAGGCTTCCCGGTCTTTGTCCTGAGCGACGGTGGGGAGGGCTCCCAGGGGGTGAAGCCTGGAGAAGGATGTATGCAGATAGAAGTGAGTTGTCCCCACATTGTCCCAGTACACGATGATCAGAAGGATCATGAAGATGGAGCCCAACACCACTGAAAGCCGGAAGAGCCGCGCTTTGGTCATCCTGGCAGCTGAGCTGGTAGCCACAGTCTCCTGGGTTCACCTCTGCCTCACACTGTGGTCCCTGGGACGCAGCATTGTGCAGCTGACACGAAGCCTGGAAAAGTACCAAAGAAAAGTTAATTTGGCTCTTGAGCACTCTGATAACTGGGAATCAGACCCTGCAAGACAACTGCCTCCACATGCCTGTTACATGCTCCTGATGTTTAGGCTACATATGGCAGGTGACACTGCCACCTAAAACAACACAGTCCAGTTAAATGCTGGCTTTGCTCTTTGCTGTGGAACCGCACTCTGCAACACCAGTGTGACACCCAGGGAGGCTGCTCCAACACGCTGTAATTACGGTGCATTGGAGTAGACTGAATTAATCAAGTCTGCTGGAGCATGCTAATTAGCCTCGTTCAATGAGGTTTAGTTAAAGCACCCCCGCCATCATTCTGAAGCACAGGGATGCTGGTACATGAAACTCGACGGGTGCTTTAATTAGAGAGACCCTCAGAGCTGCTCTAATTAAAGCCTCCCCCTACCCCCGAAGCACGTGTTAAAACACCCCCAGTGACTGCAGAGTCCCAAAGCATCAGTTGTAACCGCTAAGAGCAAGGGCTGCAGGTAGCTGCTTCTGCTCTTCCTGCCTGGGAAGAAGAAATACACCACACCCTGTTCAAGTTCGCAGATGACACGAAGATGTGGGGGGAAGTGGACACGCTAGTAGGAAGAAACAGGCTGCAAGCGGATCTAGACAGGTTACAGGGGTGGGCCAAAGACAACAAGATGGGGTTCAACACTGACAAGTGCAGGGTACTGCACCTGGGGGGAAGAACCAGCAGCGTACCTACAGGCTGGGGAACTCCCTTCTTGCCAGTACTGAGACAGAAAAGGATCTTGGAGTCATCATGGATGCCACAATGAACATGGGCCGACAGTGTGGGGACGCGGTCAGGAAGGCCAACCGTACCTTGTCGTGCATCCACAGATGCATCTCAAGCAGGTCCAAGGAGGTGATCCTCCCCCTCTATGCGGCACTGGTCAGGCCGCAGTTGGAGTACTGCATCCAATTCTGGGCGCCGCACTTCAGGAGGGATGTGGACAACATGGAGAGGGTCCAGAGGAGGGCCACCCGCATGATCCGGGGGCAGCAGGACAGGCTCTACGAGCGGAGGCTACATGACCTGAACCTGTTCAGCCTCCACAAGAGAAGGTTGAGGGGGGACCTAGTGGCCATTTACAAACTAGTCCGGGGGGACCAGCAGGCATTGGGGGAGTCCCTGTTGCCTTGAGGACTCCCAGGAGCGACAAGAAATAATGGTCACAAGCTGGCAGAGGGTAGATTTAGACTAGATATCAGGAGGCGCTACTTCACTGTCAC